TGGGAAACCGCCTTCCCCCAAGCAAGTTGTCTGATAACCATAGTCTGCTTCATGCACGGTTCTCGACGGCATGTGCATTTGCGTGCACATGTGAACAATATGCATCTGACACCCACAGAGTCGGTCTCCTCTTTCCCCTTTTGCTGTTGGGCTCGTGGTAGCACAATCCGGCTCTGTGCATCAAAAATGCCTCTGAGGATTTCTTTCCCTTTCATTAGCTTATCCTATGGGCCATCAGCATAAATTCTGCCTGTGACAGAATTTATTTTAATTCTACACTGCATGCTAGGGAAACAGATTTGGGAGTAATTAGTGGCCCACAGCTGGAGTGATAAAGAAAAGGAAGGTAGAGGGGAGGCCACAGGGAGGTGGCATATAATGTTGGTGACTGGGAATGTTTGTAAAATTCAGGTTCTCATCAACACTCATGGCAGTTGGAGTCATAGAGAAGGTGACCGTGGTTTGCTTGAGAATTTCTGAACACAGAGTGGACTCAGTGGCTGAGAGGACAGGTCCTGGGCCTCTGCTGGGCACCTCCAGCCCACTGCAGTGCCTGACGGCAGAGATATAAAAAGATGCTTGCAGGTGGAGTGGTGTGGGTTGGACCCAGAGAATGCTGGCTTAGAGGAAGAGTGGAAATTAATTGGGTAGAAGGGTAAAAAGGAGTAGGTTCAGATGCCCAAGGAGCCTAAGGAGGGCAAAAGGGCCAAGGTGACAGATAAATGGCAGCTTGTAGCAACTTTTGGGAGAAGGCCAAAAGCTAACAAGAGCAGAGACGCCATCCATCTTTCTGAGATGAAACCATCAGGAACAAGGGGTAAGAAATGTCTTTAATTATGAAGCATGGGCTCATTAAAATAATTCACGACAGGGTGGTGTTTATATAGAGTAACCTACTTTTAAATCGGTGAATGAGCGGTGGGGGAGGGGAAAGGAAGATCAGAAAAGGGAAAGTCTAAAAAAGACTTAACTCTTTTTATTAAGAAAATAATAGACAATATAAAAGTTAAAAAAAAAAGCATTTCAAATACAAAGAGACCATAACACAGAGACACACAGATATGGGACCACTGGGGACACCTGTCAGCTGGCCACCCCTGCAAGGCTCTGAATAAGCCACACTTCTATTTGGACCTGCCCTTTAGACAACAGGCCTGTCGCCTTCCGAAGCTCTGCTTGGTTTCTATTGTATAAGAACTGAAGTGCTCTCTAGTCAGCTGAAACTGCTAGAATACTAAAATTGTCTCTCACAGCCTAAATGGCATTTAAAATAAATACTGTGAATTGATGAAATGACCAATTATGTGAAGTACCCCTGCCTGGTGTAATCCAAACCAAATCTTACCCCATTATCCTCAAAACGGAGAGGCAATTCAGCAGCCCCTCCTGCCAGTGATGCAGAACCCAAACACAGTGCCACACTCGACACCCAAGGAGGACCTCGAGTGCTCCCAGTTAATCCTTGCAATTGGTTTTGTGCTGGAAAAAAAAATGTACCACAAACCGAGCACTTATGAGCCAACATAAGCTGGTTCCCCATGGTAACTATTATGTCATTCTGATCTAAACATCATTTCAGGATTTCACTTCCGTCATTTCTGGTTAGGACATCACATTATAGACAGCTTCCGATTTGTGATTTTTCAACTTTGTGATGTTGTGAAAGCCATATGCATTTGGTAGAAACTCTGATCTCTGAATTTTGATCTTTTCCTGGGTTAGCGATAGGAGGTATGGTCCTCTCTCGTGATACTGGGCAGCGAGCTATGGCTCCCTGCCAGTCATATGATGTCTGGGCACACTGAGTCTTGTGGGTAAGTAGCATGTGCAGGTTTGGTGGGTTAAATGCATTGCTGACCTATGATATTTTCAACTTACAACAAATTTATCTGTGTAGAGCTCCACTGTAAGCCAACGAGCACCTGTATTCTTCTTAGATGTAATGTGGAACATGCGACACCATCAGTCAGTCATGTTCTACACCTCCATCACCAAGTCCCCACTGCTGTGCTCTGTGTGATACCAGGTGCTCCTGTGGTTTCCCTCTCTGGTGATGCCATTTCTGCTAATTCCACACTCTCACATCTCTTTGTTTTTCAAGGCCTTGTTCAAGTGTCAATTCTCCAAAGAAGCTCACCCTCCTGATAAAAATAAGCCTTCCTCCCCACAACATGGCCATGTCTGTTGATCTTGCATCCTGCATCCTTATAACCTCTGGGGCTACAGAACATCAGATGTAGAACATGTCTGCAAAAGTGGAACTACTCTATGGAACTCAGGGAAGGAGGGAAAGGAAAAGAGAGTGACAGAGCATCAGTAATATCGTAAAACATAACATCTGTGAAGGAAGAGGAAATAAGGATATGTGTTGAAAATAGGGGGTGGGAGGTAAAGGGGTAAGGGAGAGTGATGGAAAGGACTGAACAGACCAAAGTAAGGTATACTCACAGCAGGGATACATTGAAAAACTCCTTTGAACAAGGACTTAGATACTAACAAGAAAGACAGGACTGTAAAATAGGTACAATGTGTGTGTGGGGAGGGAGGGTAAACAAAGGAGATTAACGTGAGAGAATATGGTTAATGAACTTCATATACTTACATGAAACAGAATAAAGAAACCTCTTGCAATAGTTTTATATGGGGGATGGGAGGGAGAGACGGTGGAAGAGATCTAACCAATGTACAATACAAGCCTACATGGACTTGTCACAATGAATTCCCCCGTAAAATGAACATACCCTAATAAAAAAGTTAATGGGAAAACAAACAAAGAAAAAAACATGGCACATCTGTTGATCTTCAACCTTACATCCTTATATTCTCCACCTCTGGAGCTACTGAACATGATAGGATTTTCCACCCCTCTTTGCAAGTAAGCATTCTGGTTCTGTTTGGCCTCAATTCCAATCTTCGTGACTGGACCCTCTCAACAAAGTTCTTTTCTGGTGATTATCTTTAAAATTTTCTTCCTTCTTACTTATTGGGAAAAAAGAAGGCATGTGTGAGTTAAGAGAAGTGAATACACATTTTCTTGTATTTGATTCTTCCTTAAACCTTCCATTGGTGTGATGGGCCAATCCTTTCTTTATGTGCCTCTATCTTCATGTGTAAAGTTGCTTGTAGACATTAGTACCTTCGGGATGGCCTGGTACCACCCACCAGAGAAACACATAAAAAGTATTCATTGGGAAGGCACCCAGAAAATTAAAAAAAATCTTATCACAGTAAAAGAGTCTCAAGAACTCTGGACAAGTTACAGCAAAATGATGAAACATCACTGAAAAAAAAATTAATATTCACAAGTCCCCACCCACATCCCCAAACTCACCAAGAGTCTCCTGATTTTCAAAGGTACAAAAAACAAAGAATGCAGGTTATACTTAATTGGATATGAATTCAATGAACATTTGAAATTTGTACGCATTTAATTCCCAGTGTGTAGAGCAATTAGGGAATTTTTAAAACAGAAAGAGAAAAAAGAAGTGTACATCCATAAGGCTCACATTGTGCTCGCTCAACTTTACCAATGTTTCTCTCATGGTTTTTGCCCCACAGAAACAAACAAACCAAAAAAACCCAATATGCACAGAGCAAATCTTACTTATTGTGGAACTTAATGAATAAAAATCTTATAAGAAAAGCCTCTAAGAAAACAAAATTCCATTTCTCAAAATAATCCAAATGTTAACCATGTTCCCAGAACTGCCATAGTTCCAGAAGAAAAATGAAGACACACGTAACTTTGAAATTCACTTGAGAAAAACCCAAAGGATGACTATCATCGGCTCCCATATATATAGTCTGAACGCAGAGCAGAACAGATTGTTTTACAGTTATGCATTAATTTGAAAGTGGAGGCAATTCCTTCTATTTTCTTAGACATTTAGGACATCTACAATGCCTGTTAAAATTAGAACCAACCAAATGCCTGCCTACATTTCACCTATGCCAAGCAAACATGCAAAGAAATTCTTAAGTTCCTGATTTCACGGACTATTAGACAGACAATTCTACAATTGCATGGCCTATAAAACACCAACAAAAACATGATGACATCTCCACAATTGTTTGCACTACTCCAGAAACCTGAAGATAAATGTCTCTTTTCTTAGCCACATTAATATTGCACTCCTTCACACAGAGAGCTGGCCTCAATGTGCACTTTTAGGGACAGAGGCTAAACAGCCCTAAGCCAATGAAAAGACATAACCCCTCATCAAAAGCCAGCAGAGTTCTAAAGTGCTAGGTACAACCAAATCCACTTGCTTTTAGCAGCTGGGCCACCCTGGTTCCTGACCAATCAACAGAAGCTAAAGGGAACTGAAAACTGGGAGACCCTTGGGGGCCAGTTTCAGACAGAGTAGATATCCAAAATAGCCATAACCCAAAAGTAATTTCTAAAATATTTGTGATTCTTTTTATTTCTTTCTATGTTTAACCATTTATTCTTTTTTAACCTTGGCATTTCAATGAAACTTCACAGCAAGGACAGAGGTAAAAGGCAGTTTGAATAGTCTAAGCACACTGGACAGGAACTAGCCCAAAGAAGCCAAGCCAGGAAAGATATCTCCCAGCAAATGACCTGTGGGGACCAGTGAAGGGGACTGTACTCTGAGCTTCAGAACACACCACAGCCAATCTTCCAGGTACACAGGGATGTGCATCCATGATGACAAATGGCAGAGCCATCCTTTATCAGCCCACTGTCTGCGATTGTCACATTCCAACTGTCACATAGTTCCTATTCAAAACCCAAACACATCTGAAATATGATCAGTGTGATGGCCCAAGAAGCAGTCCTGGGAGGCCTGGTTTCTGACTCACAGCTTACAGCAAACAAGAGACTTAGGTAGGAAGTAAAGAGACTCAGCCCATGACAGTCACACTTGTGTGGAGAGCAGCCACTGAAACAGAGGGACCTCTGCTAGCTGGCACCACACACCGAGGAGTAAGGAAGGGGAAGGCTGGGAGAGAAGGAGGTGCTCCTAGACACCTACCTTGCAGAAGGGCTCCGTTTCTCTTGAAGAAGGTACTGCCCGGCCAGATGGGTGGACCAGATGTGCTGAAAGAGAAGACAAACAGGTGTAAAGCTTGCAAGCATTTCCACCCACTCACCTGTACCTCCAAAACTCACTCAAAATGGCCTCTGAACATCTCCCCCAGGTATGCATTTTTGGCACTCCCTAAAAATGCAACTTTAAAAACCATTTTTTATAAACGAGCCTCATATTTCCCATGGTGGGAATATTCTGGTTACTGTCTTGGCCAGAGTCACATCTGGGCATTGAAAACACTTGCACATACACAAATGGCCAACACACATATCAACGGCATCGCTTAGAACTTCGGGATGCTGCTAAACTGTTCTCATGATTTCATGAATTTATTTGGCCAAGAACTTGTGTCTGCTGAGACCAGGTCCATTTTCTGGCCCTCCCTGGTATCACTTGCCTGTTATACAAACAAACTTGTCTTTCTTGTGCTTCTACCACCAAATTCTTACAGATATGACCTTGATCGACTTCTCCCCTTCTCCCTAGTCTCACTTTGCATCCTGCTTTCAATTTCTTGGCTTAAGATGTTGCACTCATACCCTATAAAACACTGCAGGTGTGTTACTATCCACAGAGTGGTAAGAGGAGAGGCAAGAAAATAAGAGAGATCAATATATCACAAAGACACTTACTGCATTTCTAGACGAGCCCTTTCACTGTTTTAAGACATGCAGTGGAAAACTTGGTAATAAGCCAGGCTCAGTAAAATAGCCTTAGAGTGGAAAATAGGTTATTCTAAACCAAGGATTGGTTTAGATTAATGTTAGAAAGCACCCAGTTCAAAAAATGGTACTACATCCAGTTCAAGAGGCGGTATAAATTTCTTTCACCAAATAGCGCATGGCAAATGATAGTGGTTAATGGACTATCAATCACATTCAACATTAAAAAAAAGGAAAACATTGGTCAGAGGAATACATCTGTAAGTGCAGCATGTGGGCACACGCACACACACACACGCACGCACACGCACACACACACGCACACACACACGCACACACGCACACGCACACACACACACACACACACACACACACACACACAGCTCAAGGGCTACACCACGAATGCTTCACCAGTCAAACTGGGCCTCTGGTTGTGTTGGATAGCAATACCATTAACAAGGAGAAAAAAAATGTCAATGACGTTCTGCCTACCAAAATTTCATTACCAGAAGTACAAATAGTGTCATTGGTGTAGGGACACAGTACATGATTAAGGAGGAGAAGGGAGGAAAGGGGGGAAAAAGAACCATAGCCTACAAATCCTACTAAACAGAAGATAATGGTGAATATGCCAGAAAACACATAGGCTTATCTTGCTGTACTGAGCCTTACTTCACTGTGCTCACAGATACCGCGGGGTTTTGGGTTGTTTTTTTTTTGTTGTTGTTTGTTTGTTTTGTTTTTTAACAAATTAGAGGTTTCTGGCAATCCTTTGTCGCCCAAGGGTATCAGCTCCATTTCCCCAACAGTTCTGATGATAACTAGCATCTTTTAGAAAAAAGAAATATTTTTACATTAAGGTTTGTACAGTGTTTACTTATTACAGTACAATATGGTGTTAAATATAAAATTTATATGTATTGGGAAACCAAAAACAAATTGGTGTGATTTTTAGTGCAGTATTTGCTTGACTACAGTGCTCTGGAATTGAACCTGCCTATCTCTGAGGAATGCAGGGAACTCCTGTGAACCTGAATGTTAACAAGCCTTTTGTTTTGTTTTAGATACACTATACTTGGAGTAAAGGAGAATAATGCATTTCCTGCAGTCTTGATTCTGAAACCTGGCATGTGTGGCTTCTGAGCTACAGGAGACAACCGCTCCCTGCTTGGGGGTCAGGGTTGCAGGATGAAGTCAGCTAGCTGATTCTTGTCCTCCTACATTTGGGGACCTATAAGGCTCAAAGTTGTGCATTAAAATGTTTAAGACGATCTTTTAACAACTCCAGCAAGCTCCCAGGGTTTTACCATCTTATTTTTATAACAAAGGAGGAAACAGCAAGCTGGCTGTTGCCAATACTGAACTGCCTGATTTATAAAGATATTTAAAAACTGAGGACTTCATTACAGAGGAGTTCATGCTTCTAGAGAATTCAATAATTGAGTATTATTGCAGAAGCCTGAATATCCAGCTTACTGCCATCCAAATCTCCTCTTTATCCTGACCTTGATTTGGCTGAAAACAGAGTCGACACCAGGGATGGAGCAAATGTGGGGGACTGAGGTCAGATAAATCCAGTGGTTTAGAGAAGAAAATTCTTCATGATAAAGTCTACCGAAAGATTTCTACAACGTCCTTTTAACGTACTTAAGTCACCGATCACTATTCTATGGCCATTCTGCTTTGCCACCTCTCTTATCTAGTGGTGAACAGCCATTGGGACTGGCGTGCCACCGTCTCCAGCTCCTGTTGTAACTGATGAATTCATGGGTGTAGAGAGGGGACTCTTTCCAGTTCAGCCAGTTCCTGCCACGCTAACTGCAAAGCTTTTGAGCTCCTCATGCTCATATTCCATGTTCTTCTTTTAGAAGGTCCCTCAAAAATGATATCGTCTAGCTGATAAAAGATTTAAGGATTTATAAAGTGTCTATTGAGAATTGTGCTTGGTGTTGCAAAAGACTGGTGAGAAAAAAATTAAAAACTGTATCTTATGACCTCTAAGAACTCATTACTGTGGTTTCTTAGTTCCAACCACCTCAGATTCTATCTAGAGGCAAAGAAATGCCTGTAGAAAGCCTAATGGCTTTGACTTTGGAGGCTGCAGGCCGGCAAGACAGCAAGTCTGATTTTTTTTTTTTCTCCAGCTGGAGACATTCTTGCCTGATTGGCCTTAGAGCTCATAGTTAAAAACACAGCCTTAGAAAATTACTTTGAAATGTAACCAACTGCCATTGAGAAAAGAAACTAGTGGCTGGAGTGTCTGTGGGAGGGGCTCCAAACCACTCCTTTCCTTGGCAGGTCAAGGGGAGAGGAGGGTGGAGGGTGCTCCCCACACCTACTTGTGTAAATGCCAGTGACTTGTAGGTGGTCACGGATGTGCAAAATGCCCACTAAGGTCTCCTTAACCCTAACTGAGCGGGTTTTAATGACCTTTAATAGCCCTTACAATCCTCACAACAAGTGACCATGTACTGAGCACAGCAATGCATGCTTTTCTTCAATTCTGAGGGGTGGTGGGCAGGGCAGAAACCACCTTTCCGTTCTTTAGATGAGCAAACAGGAAGGTACCGAAGGCATCACACAGCTGGACCAGACCAGGGCTTCTAGAGCCGGCCCAAGGTACCACAGAAACGCACCCCTCCATGGCCCCCATTTCACTTCTTATCTGCCAGCCTTCCTTTTCCAATCTTCCAACAATAAACTCTTAGCCATCCTTCCCCATGGAAAATGCTTGGTATTTTGCTAGGAATCTCTCCAAGGCGAAGTCCCAGGCTAGAAAAAGCAATCAGGCTAACCATATGTGAAAGACACAAGGGCTGCTATTAGCAGAAACAATGTAATGCTGGCACCATAAATGTCTCATTTCAATAACGTGCTGACAGAATCCCATGACCTTCAGCAGTATCAGCCAAACCAACTTTGTGACAAAGGAAATGGGCCAACAGGTTAAGAGGGCCTTGCCTGCCAGAAAGTCAGTCTCTGAACTGGCATTTGAAACATTGATCCAGCCGATCATTGAGACCAGCGCTGAGCTAGCAAATCCCAAGAGATCAGTGATATGTCCTGCACAGCATACCAGGCATCCGCCAGGGACTCACAGCCCTCAATTAATTCTAGGCCTCACATTCTCAGCTGCATTACCTCTAGCTCCCAAGGGACACAGTGAGTCAACAGGTGACAGAGTCCTAAGGTGGCTCTTGGCATCGTGATGTGATCTGTCATGTCTACCCTATACCCATGAGCAGCTTTCATCACTGTGAAAACCAGCTGGATTGTAAACCCAGAGCCTGAGAAGTTCTGGCAAGACCCCCACCTGTATTCACTGGCCTGGACTTTCTGTGGGCCTAATGAGAAGCAAACTGAAAAAAGCACCTTTTTCTTCCTAAGAAAAAGTATGAACTGATAAACATAAAATAACAGGAAGCCACAACAGGCACAATAATACTTGAAGCCAGAACAGAGGACAGATATTGTCGGAGCTCATTTATGTGAGTTCCCTACAACTACAACGGTCAGGTTCGTAAGGACAGAAAGTGGAAAGGTGTTGCCAGGGGCTATGGGAAAGGGGAAAGTGGGGAGTGGTTTTTTTATGGAGTACAGAGTTTCAGTTTTACAAGTTGAAAAGCATATAACATAAATGCACTTAACACTACTGAGCGGCACACTTAAAAATAGTTAAGATGGTAACTGTTGTTATGTGTATTTTACCACAATTAAAAAATCTGATGTATAATAAAAGGAAGGGAGAGAAGAATAGGAAGGGAAGGACAGAAGGATTCTGGAAGAAGTGACCAATAGCCTAAAGAATGCTGGTTACTGGAGTGGCTCAAGTGGTAGAGCACCTGACTTGCTAGCAAGGGCAAAGCTCTGAGTTCAAACCCCAATACCAGAAAAAAAAAAATTGGGGGGCAGTGCAGATGGATCAGTCCACAGTGCACTAAAAGGTAGAAGGCCTAAATCAACTGGGGAAAGGAATGGACGCAGGGAGACTAGCTTATCCTGTTAGTCCTCATGGAAGCCTATGCTTAGCCACTGCTCTAAGCAGCCCGGCGCTGATCCTGCCTCATCCCTAGCACTGGACAGGCAATGGGAAGGAATCCCTGTGGGATGCAACCGCTACCATCAGATTGTATTTTCCCACCAATAAAAGTGAAGACAAGTATAAGGAAGGGGAATCCCCCAGAAGAAAGAACAAAAACCTTGGAATTCTATTGTCTTAACTTCTCACTATGGGTTAATTACCAAGAAATAAGAGAAAACCAAAGACCTGCACTATACCCTAAAATAGCCCTGGCTAAAGGATGCCAGTCCCTAAAATTTGGAATGCAGCCTCAGGGCAACCTGAC